AATTAATTCAGGTACAAATGTTTAAAACATGCTATTACTTACCTCGCACGGCACGTAAATTTGTATGCAAATTCTTAAGAATAAAAGCTATATACTATTAATTTTTTGAATTTACCACTGATTTATACTTTATAGATGCTTGTTCTGTATTTCCAATAAACGCAAAACAATTAAATTATCTATAAATATAAAAATAAAACTGCTAATTATTGATTACTTGTTAAAATTAATTTGTATTAAATTTTTGACTAAAAGTTATTTAAATAAATATAAAACGTACTTATGTACCTATTTGAACTTATTAGTCGGATCGAGTTGTATCTTTACTGTTAGTTTTTATATTTTTAATATATTACACAATAATTAAAATCCTGTAACTTATTAAATTATTTATAAGTTTTTGAAATTTAAAAAGCCAATTTTCTTGTGAATTTTTTAACAAAGTTACTTATCTTAAACCAATTAATAATATAACAAAATGTTCGATGATATTTTATWTTTACACTATGTGTATAATTTTTATTGTTAAGAAAATAGTTATTTGATATATTAAAATAAATCTATCTAAATACGTTAAGAGATTTATACATTTGTTAGAACAAGTATATAAATATACATATATAATATATATGCATTCACAAATTAAAAACGTAATGATGTAAGTTAAATTACGCATGGTTAACCTTGTCTTATCGACTCAACATTTTCATGGTCCATATTTGTGTATCAACAAATAAATCAACACTAATCAATTACTTATTTTTATTTAAAACAAACAATTATTATTAAAAATTATTAAAAATTACCTATTACAAGTACGTATTACTTATGTTTACTAATATAAAATGATTTATTTGGTAAGTATATGGGTAGAGTTCGGATTTGCATATTTTTCATATTGTTACTAAGTATATGCAATCTTATGAAAGTAAAAATGTAAATAGGACAGAGACAGTTGTATAACTGTTATATTTCAATGAATAATAGTCCATAGGTTTGGTTTCTGCATAGACAGATTAATTTCCTACTACAATTCATAAGTGAGAATAATTTTGGGTAATCAGAAAAAATCATTGAAAAAAACCCTGAAATCTGGCATTTTTGCTTGTCTTACATTGTTTACATTAAACAACAAATTGCGATATTATTTGATTATATATAATATGATTAAAACAAAAAAATATTTTAAGGAGATTATTAAGACATTTAGTAAGAAGTTTTTTTATTTTAAACTCAAACAAAAAAGTATTAAACTATTCTGTCTGAAAATTGTATAGTAGAATAATTTTTACAATGAATTAAGTCAAGTCATAACTCACATAACTTAAATCTCAAGAAAGATAAAAATACATTTTACTTTTGTAATTTTTTAATTATTCACTCCAAGTATAACTTATAAACACCTCAAAAGGCGAGAAAAATTTTTGTTATGAGTTTATATTGATGTTTATATTGTGATTTAACTGTAGGTAGTTATAATTTATAAAAACAAAACGCTATGTATCATTTCAATAAAAGGAAAAATGATCCTTTACCACTAATAACTTGCATGAACACCTTTTTGACATTCTGTCAACGTCATATAAACTATTGACTGATAATATGAATAATCTCATAACTCACACAAGTCATAACGATGTTTCTCTATAATGTAGGTAGTTTTAGTTAATATGTTATACTTTAATCATGTAATATTTATCAATTACGTGTATATTATTCATGCATGTAACAATTAACAAATCGTTTGAAGAAAAATGTACATAAAAAACAAAATCTAATATTTGTGTAGGTATACGATAAAAATATATGACGTTTAATGATGTAAATGTATGATATTTTTGTCAATTTTAATTTATTGAACCATTATTATTAATGCTGATAATATAACCAAAATAAAAATAAAACTCTTTGTTATTTGATCGTAAACAAGAAAATTAATTTATTTTTACTAGCAAAAAAATAATGTTATTTTAATTTATTCATTGCAAAAATGTATATATTGGTAAAATTCAAAAAATATATATTTATGTATACGAGTATAGTAATTAAAAGTGTGAAATATCATTTTAATGTTTTGTATAATTTTAATTCATTAGTATAAAATTGCAATGTAAATCAAATCCAAGGATATATATAAAAATTAATCATCTGTAAGTACAATATAGAATACCTAATTATAAACACGATTTGAATATTTTTAAAAATTTAAGTTTAAGCAAAATAATTTGATTTTGACTTTAATATGCCTATTGGGAAACTAATAAATTTGGCAAGTTAATACTCGAATTTAAACCACGTATTATATTCTAGAATTTCTTATCACTTATGTAATTGTTATATTTTCAATAAAATTAAGTACCTACACAACTTTTAAAAACTATTTAGAATAATTGGCTATATTTGACATTTTTAAATAGCTAGAAGTACAATTTTCGAAGAATTTTTAACAATGTTTATGAATTTTAAAGAAATCGAAAGCTTAAATTATAAACTATAATTCTCGATACTAACACAACTTTTAAAAACTATTTAGAATAATTGGCTATATTTGACATTTTTAAATAGCTAGAAGTACAATTTTCGAAGAATTTTTAACAATGTTTATGAATTTTAAAGAAATCGAAAGCTTAAATTATAAACTATAAATAACTTCTTATTAGTAAAAATGTTTTAAAAAAATCATCGTGTTAGTATCGAGAATTATAGTTTTAATTAAATTTGAAATGTTTCTATTAACAAAATATCAAAAATTGTTAAATAATAAATGATATATACTATTATACTAAAAATTTCAACTTCAATCGCTTATAAAAACATTTATGAAGTATACATACTGAATCTAAATTCTATAATATGCTAATATAAATGTTAATTGTGTATACTCTAAGTACCTACGGTACTTAATTTTTGGATTATAATAAAAAACAAATTCAATTTAGTTAAAAACTGATTTAACGTGTACATTCCGGTTTTCTATACAAATTTTTTGTTTTTCCTGATTTTTTACTTTTGACCCTGGTAGTCAATGGTGGCGCCAAGGGTCCTTAAAAAGTCTTGGGCCCCTCCATAACCAAGCCAACCCCAAACTTTAAATTTAAAATAAATAATATTCAGCTATTGAAAGTTATATTTATCGATCTCATGAACCACAAGTTATAATAATATATGAAAATATTGAACATGGAATGGCATCACTATTGTTTTTATATATATTAAGTTAACATATTAGCAACCCTAAAAAATGTTGACCTCAGCCTGGCCCACCTGATACTAAAATTCTGGTGCCACCACTGCTCATAATACCAACTAAATCTAATTTGGTTAAATGGTTAAAATGCTTTTACTACACCGAAAGGTGTTAGCAATTAAAAAAAAAAAACATATATACTGTAAAACCAGTAAATTCATCACTCTATTTAGAGCCTAAAACATAAATGTTGATGTTAAAATGTATTATTTATGGCACAAAAAATCACATCATACAAATTGTTAGGCTAGTAAAAAAAAAAATAATTTTGTGATATGATGATTCAAATAACATCCTAATCATGATCATTTAGTTCAGTATTAATATCTTAATTAATAAATAGATTAAAATTATTGAATCAGAAAAATAACAATTTCGAAATTAAAAACTTAATTATAATATCATTAAATAAAAATTAACAATGCTTACTTTATAGTTATATGAAATGGTGTTACTTACTTACTACATTATACTCACTAGATACTAGAAAATCACAAATTTATCATAAAATGTACGTAGGTACAATTATACTAATATGCGATAATATTATATATTATAAGTAAATTGTACAACTGTCATAAAAATTTAAGATTTAAGGAAACTAAAATAAAAGTATTACATAAAAGCCTTATCATCTTTAATATATCTAATTAATTTTTTCTTTAATAAATTATTAAATAAAACATTTATATTGACAGTTAATTAGATATCTAATCAAAACGAATCTATGGTACACAATTTCGGAGCTCAAATTTACACAGACCATTTCGACATATTGTAGATTATATTACTGTGGAATATTACATTAAAGTTATACCAAATACTAATATGTAGTATACGTTCTCACCCATTCATTAATTTTTTTGTTGAATTAAAAATAAAATTAATTCAAACGTGAACTAGAACATGTAAATACAATAAAAAATCCACGACAATATTTAATGTTAGATTAGATGAGCATATTATGACTTACTAACATGTAATGCGTTAAAACGCTTTAATGTTATAATAATTACAATTTGATATTAGTTTAAGCATAATATTGATAGTAAAAGAATGAGTAAGTCAATAGTCTACATGTGGGRCCGCTGTAATTTTTTGAAAAAGAGAAATGTATATTTTTTACCTTTTTCTGAAAAGAGACAATTAGTGTGGGGGTTTTCAAAATTATGAAAATAATGGCCTACATTACAAAAAGCTTATCACAATCAACGCTTGTTTACTTAATATTTTATTAAAATCTTAGGATTTAACACCATCGTTCACGTACTAATGTCTAATTGTATCAAAATTATGTTATTATAAAWCCTAGAAAATAATCTTCAACTTAAAAAATGTTTCATTCCATTTAATAATAATACCTAGTTAAATTATATAGCTTAGAAGAAATATCAATTTAATCATATTATTTAAAATCTAATAACTTTTATGACTTTTAAAGAAAAAATCTCATAGTAAAAATAATATTTGCTAATATATTATAACTTGGATTATAATAATTTATAATTTTTAAATTATAAATAAATTGAAGAAAAAACCTACGGTTAAAATTTAACACGCATTATGACTACGGAAGAAAAATCAAATGTTACGTATAGTCATTTATATCCTATTTTTTTTCTAATTTAGGTAATTTCCAACGTTTAATCACTAATCCTTCGACGGGACGATGGTGTATGTGAAAACGTCCATTGTCTTCCAATATTCCGGTATTTTCTTCCTGGGATTTTCTTCCTTTAATAACTTTTACAAGGCATTTATCGTTCAATAAGTTGGTTAACTTGAATGGTAATATTAATGGATATATGTGTTCAATGGCAAGTTGAACTATTTCTTCACTCGGAGCTGCGGACAAAATATAATTCAACGAATACATTTTATGATAAACAAATTTATTTTTTTAATATCTCTGAAAATTTGCTTACCATTAACAGTAATGCTTCCAGTAGAATATATTTTTAATGTAGCTTTAAATTCTTTAATTTTGTATGTCACGCCGGGATGTAACTCGGGCTCATACCTTTTAACAAAATAATATGATCAAAAACAAAMTTAAAGAAGTTTTTATCAGAACAGTAACCTACGCGTATTGGGTCTAAAACCCATTGTGGTGTTTTTGTATAATGCGTTTTCCCCAAAAAATTATGTATGCATATAAAGGTGGATATGTACT